AAAAACAAATCCTGCAATAATGTAATAAGAAGGGGGTCTGCCCTCGTTGTGTGCAGGAATGAGCCTTCTGTAAGTTGAAAGTTGGTAATTGAAACTGAGTGTCTCACAGTTGCGCAGAACTTTTATTGTTGCACTATCACCAGTATATTTCTGGGAGACTAGGTAACTGAAACCTATGCGCTCGCCATGCCGGAAAGGAACTGCAAAATATTGACAGAGAGTAGGTCAATCAAACAAATAAGAAGAGGAATCTACAGAATTCTTTTTCCAAAATAAGGTTATAACTTTCAAATTTGCATTCGATTATTGATCACGATATTCATGACACAGAAGCAATGATCTAAGGATTAGATTCTGTCATGCACTTGCATTAGACCCCAAAATCATTGTTTTCTAAAAGCACAAGGCATATTGAGTGCTCGCCTCTACATACCAAATGCAATGCAAGGTGTCAACAAAAAAAATGCCAGCTTTAGTGAACAATATAACATATGAAAAATATTGTAAAATGAGGCAAAAGCATGACATAATGGAAATTTAAAGAAATGAGATAAGATATTTTCTAAGGACATAGGCATCAAAGCATGACATAATGGAAATTTAAAGAAATGAGATAAAGATATTTTCTAAGGAAATAGGCATCCAACATTTTTCATTTCTGGTATCTTTTCTTTTAATATTACAAGAAGTGAGAGAGCATTTGAACTCACGACCATTTGGTCAGAGATAGGTRTCTTAACCAGTTGATCTAAGCTTAGGTTGGCTAAGATGAGGAGGCTTGCTTTTTCAAAATATTGCTACAAATAACCATACTCAACAGATACGCTGTAACCTAGTTCATCCTTCTACCCTAGGAGAGCTTTTAAATTCATCGGCGGTTTACTTATCTAAATATACACTATCTAGTATCTACCTTTCTTTGTACCTTTGATAATTGGTGAACATAAACATATTGTTTCATTCTCATAAAAAGAATCTTTATTAACATTCCAGAAGGCCTTTATATGTATCTACRTATGTTTTGCTAAGTAAGTTCAAAGATGGTTCAGTTCAAGGATGATGTTTTGCATTGTTTAAAAATGATAAACACATATTTATTTACCCGTTCCATCATTTGCAATATCAACCCCATCAAAGCTGAGAATGATATCAGCTGGCTTCAACACTTTGGATTCTGGGCCGGTGGGATCAATACGCCTAATACGGACACCCTTCTGATCTTGTTTCATACCCATAGCCTTACGAAGATCGGGATTTTCCATTTTCTGCCACTCAAGACCAAGAATTGGGAACCCTGGCATCCAAAGAAATGTTATATCATTTAGTAAAGAACCAAGTAAATCATTACAAAGACCAATGCCAATCAACGAATATAACTTAAAAGGACMATCCCACTCCAAGTGCCCAAATACCTGTATATGCTCCATTCTTCTCGTAATCACGTATAAAATGCAAGATAACAGGCGTTGGTATGACATAACCTATATTTTCTGCATCTTCATGCTTAAGCGACTGAAATGCAATGCCCACACAGTTGCCTTTATCATTAAAGGCAGGCCCACCAGAATTACCTGAGTTTATAGCAGCATCTATCTACAGTAGCAAATAGTTGAAGTAAAGCATCAGCCATATTATCTGTATTTCTAACAAAAGTATAATAGCAGCTAACATGGTTTCAAAAGCTCAAAACCTGCAGACCCAGAAGCTCAGTAGACCCATGAACATAAGACAGGATCTCTATCCGCGATACAACCCCACTCGTAACAGAAATTGTATCTCCTCCAATTGGGTAACCAACAACAGTTACCGCATCTTGAAGTGCAGGTAATTCACCAAATTCTACAGGTGAAACTCCAACCCAAAACTCATCATCATCAACAGTAAGCAATGCTGCAATATCATACATCATATTAGTTATTACTCAATGCTTTGAGTTCCCGACAAAAATAGGTAAACGGAACGATAAATTCATGCAAGTACAAGATAATGAGATAAATATTTGGTTTAAGCACAGAATTACTTGGATCCTGATCCACTTACATCATTCATGTTAAATAATGGAGAAAATTTTCAATCCTCGTCTTTTTATTTCTTCCTGGGCTGTCATATTTTTCAGTGCATCATAAAGTTTTCTAAAAACGTTCAAACATAATGTGCTAAAGTAACCAACTTCAGCGTACATAACATAACATATTTTCGTGAGCCTAAAAAATGAGTTTCTGTGCACATAAGCCCACAAAGAAATGACTGATATTCTCAACTCTAGCAACAAAATTGTAATTGAACAACCTCATGCATTAAAACATTCAAGCTATTCAGATCGAGATATTCATATAAAATAGGGCAAATGTAATCCTGTGCAACTATTCACCGTCACATTCCATCCCCAAGACCATGGAGGAGACGGTAGGGTTCAAAAACAACGAATCACATTACCAATATCGCATTCAGTTCCGATCGCAAGAACGGTCGCCAAGTACTTGGTATCGGACCCACGCTTCTTGAGCTTAACCTGGGTATAATGCTCGACGGAATGAGCATTGGTGAGCACCCTCCTTCCACCGATCACAAATCCACTACTACTGGAGCTATATTGCCGCTTTCTCTGCCATGGAAGCGAGAAATTGGGCTCCGTGTGCACACAAAAAACCTTCACAACCGCGTCCATCGCCGGCACGACTCTCGCGATGCCCGGCCACTCCGGCTGCGCCCGTTCGGAAACAATAGCAGGCGGCAAGACGTCGCCTGAGGCAGTAAATTCGCCATTTTCGACGCCGCGAGGGGCACGTCTAGAGGGAGACAATTGGGGGAACTTGTCAGGATTCTCCAAATGCTTGGAAAGCTTCTTGGGCCTCCCACGGCGATTCTGGTGATGCTTAGAAGTGGAAGCCGGGTCCATGAGCTCGACGTTGCCGACTGAGAAAACGTCGTCCATGGTAATCGCAGCACTGGTGGCAGTGGCAGTGGTGGGCGGAGGAAAATCTAGGGCCTCCGCCTTGGAATTCTTCGGCTTGCGGCCTCTTTTACGTTTGATTTCTCCCATGTTCCACGAATCGAAGCCGAGGGTTTAGAAATGGGTTTTCGATCTTCGCTGTTCCGCTGAACCCTGAATCTCAGAATAGGCGAAAGCTGGATCGGAGAGCGCAAATGCCCCCTCCCATCAAACATAACCCATTTTATAACTTCCTTCCATCTCTCAAATTTATTTATGAACATTCATTCCAACTTTTTTTGCTTGTTAAAAAAATCAAATTTTTAAACTCCCCTTGTCACAAAACCCTTCTTTTATATAAATTCTTTTTTCATGTGGGATCAATTTTAAGTCCCTTTCAAACTCCATACAAGACTTTAAAATTTTTTTTCTTTTTTCCCTTCACTCYGAACCTACTGACTTTATTAGTTTTTTAAAACTATATTATATGTTTTTGGGAGTTGTTTTAACTATATCAATAATATTTGAAATTTCTTGTGACTTGTGTACATATAATATGCTTAGAATTATATGATATGTCTCAAATAAACAAATAATTCAATATTGTTGTGGAAACTTTAACTAGAAATAGTGAAGCATGAAATTTGTACAAATTATTGGGATTAGAGTTACATGTATGTTGTTAAAAGATAGAAGATGATGATCCTATTATAATAATAACATGCTTGAATGTTCYTTGAACTATGTTTTAAATAGTTAAAAGAGAAAATTTTCTATGTGTTTTATTTATATTTGATCAGGATGTAGTTTCTAACTTAAGAGAAAAAACAAAAGCTAGAATTAATAYACATAAGTAAGTAATTAAATATAAGAAAAAATACACTTTTTGTCTSGAAGGTTTGAACAAAGTGTCTATTTCATACCTAAAAGTTTACGAATGAATACTTTTAGTTTTAAAATGATTCAAAACGRTCATTCAGTTAATTTTACCGTTAGTTAACTAACAGAAAAATGACGTGACAAGGTAAAGGGAGAATTTTTAAACGAATTGACAACTTTTATTAATTTTATATTGGTTTTTAGATTAGGTGGCTTTTTATTATAWTTTTTTCTCAATCTTTTTCTCTCTCTCCTCCGGCTCCATCCCTCCCCCTTCTCATTTCTTCTTCCTCYTCGTCTTCTCCGCCGACCGGGTGTTCTCACTATTCTCCAATCTCTACCAACTACGACCAATCTGCCATTCCTGGGAGGCATTGGAAATAAAATCGCACTCGTTATCAGCCTGCGATTGGCCTCAATCAGGAGCTCCTTCATCTGGCTGACTTTGGTCGTGTATTGGACATCGTAGGCTTCGGAGTCGGGATTCGATTGCTCGAATTTGGAGACCTGGAACTTGTTCTCGTCGAGGAAGACGGTGGTTGAGGCGCGCCAGAGGAGGGATTCGTGATTGAGGCCGAAGATAAGGAAATTACAGGCCGGGGAGCACGGGGCGAGGCGGCGGCGATGGAGGAAAGCTCGCCGGATCTCATGTGGGGCTTGATGGAGTTCGTGTCGGCGGCGGCGTAGTGGATGAGAAGGCGGAGTTGATGAGGGTGAGGGTCAAGGCGAGAGTGAAGAAGGTGAGGAAAGAGAAGAGGCAGCGGCGAGGGGCGGAGAGGCCTTTCTTGCGGATGGAGGGGTGGTGGAAGATAAGCTTGGTGTTGGCGGAGAGAGGAAAAGATCGAGGAAAAAAATATTAAAAAGCCATGTAATCTAGAAACGATTATAAAATTAATAAAAGTTGCCACTTATTTAAAAATTCTCACCTCACGTTGTCACGTCATTTTTCAGTAAAATTAGCTGAATGAGCATTTTGAAGCATTTTCCAAACTTTACAGAGTAAAAGTACTCATTTGTAAATTTAGAGACCAAATAGAYACTTAACTAAAGCTTAGAGACCAAAATATATTTTTTCCTTAAATATAACTATCATTAATTCTAAAATAATTATAATTAATTATATACTTGTTTATTTATTAGACAATAAATTAAGAGATAAATGTTAACCAGAGTCTAACTCAATAACACSAKTATTTGATAATGTGATCGTACTTCGAATCTCCACCCCAAATATTATATTTTAAAAAATGAAGAGGTAAACAACACCTTATAAACGTCAAATGCATGCATTGCTTAAAATTATAATCTTGTTACTCATAAATTAAATGCAAGCGTCCATTTTCTACCTTTTTATCTTCCAAATAGACAGTTTCGTAATTTTGGGCCCCTCCAATAGGCCCAAAAGTAACGACACTTTGGGCCCAATTATTTCAACTCCATAGCTCAGGGGCGAGCCCAGCAATCAGCATCGTCAAGCCGGAGGCCCAAATATATTGAGTTGATACTTGATAGGTTTAAATAATAGGGACATTAATATTCCAATAAACCATGAGGGACATTTTGGAATCAATATTTCACAGATGTAAAATTTTATATATATATATTTTCTTTTTTATACTTAAATTGAGAGTAGGAATTTTGCTCCCCTGTATCGAAGGTATCCGCACCCGTCCAAAGACAATATCCATCTTTGATATTATCTACCATTTTAGATTTTCAACATTAAAWTACAAGTTGTTGTCCTTAAAATACTCTCCATTAATTTTATCCTATTATATTTATTATTTTACCACAAAAYATACTTTGTACTCTATTTTTGCMAAAAACATTACATGATAAACTGTAGGAGATATTTACCAAGCACATACTATGTTAGATTCAAACCTGACCAAAAAAAAAAGTAAATATTTTTATTCTAATAAATTCCCAATGATTTAATACTATTAATTGAGAGTATATATTTTCTTTTAAAAAATTGAGAGTATATATAATATATAATCTCTAAATTTAGTGACAAAGAGAAAAAAGTAAATGTTTATATTTAATGAGTTTTGGTAGATTAAATTTATTGAAACTTTATGATTGAAAGTGTTACATTTGAGATTCAGAGACCAAATAGAAACTAAACTCAAAATTKAGAAGTAAAAGTATAAAACATTTTAATACTTAGGGACCAAATGAAAATTAAACTCAAATCAAGGACTATTTTTTTTATTTTAATTCATAGACTCCACATTTAAACACTATTAAATGCTATGATATGAAATGAAAGTAATGAAATTGTGGAACCAATCTAATTAGAAGAAAAAAAAAGAATACTACATTTTCGTTATTGTAATGTTGAATAGCTGTCTCGGCGTACTTTTAAATTGTTTTGTTATACAATCGGTTTCTCTTGGGACCAATAGTGCCACAAGAAACAAAATCATGGGAAAAGAACATATCAAAACCGTGTAATGAATAATAGAGATGAGTATGTATAGTATGGTATAATTAAGAAAGATTGAATGAAAATAAAATAATGTTAAGAAAGAAAAAGAAAATTAAAATGACCTCAGTTTTTTCAAAGGCACGAATGTATTGTCTCATCTCTTTATGATTAATATCATGGACACCATCTTCATAAGAATAATAATTAGTTTTAAATAATGAGAGTTTTTAATTAAAAATAAAAACAAAAGGAAAAAAAAATCAATTCCTACCAAAAGAAAATCTGCAACTTCCAAACTCTCAAAAGTTTAAATTTGGGGAGGAAGAAACCCTAATACTATTTTTGTGCAAGTGAGGTACGGATATCACTATGTATATTTTTTTTTCAATTGTTGGTTTGAATTATTTTGGTATTGGTAAATGCAATTTCATGCTTCCCCGGAAAAAATTCCTAATCATTTATATATCTTCACATAGTTTTTTAAGTATGATTAAAAATTTGAATAGAGAGAATCTATTGAACCACGTAAAACAACATTTCAAGTGGCAAAAGAAAAGAGGTACTCTAAAAGTTCGAAGTACCAAGATCGAGGCGAGGTATAAATGAAACTACTCTCAATCGCTCACTCATTAATGTAGATCTCCTGCTTAGTGACCACTTAATGGCTCCACACATAAATGTCAATAAATTTTCGTTTTTAGAATTACTTACGTTATGTCGAGCTCGTCTAGTAGTCTAGATCATTCCACCAATAGATCATCTCCCAGAAAATCCCATTCTATCGAGGACCGAGACGCTGAGCTCAAGGAGATAGAAAAATTTCGTTTTCCGGATGACGAAGGCGAGGATAGTGATGCCTCGACCTTGGATCAGGGTTTGGAATTCCCTTCTGGTATGCCAGAGAACTACTTCGAACCGCTCCGTAGGCGGTACCAAATTTCCGACGATTCCATCCTCGACAGAGAAAGAGCTGTGTTGTTCGAATTCGCAAGTGGTTCGGCAAAGTTGTTTACATCCATTTTAAAATAGAGTATTTCATTAAGACGGTTTGGGATACCCCAGACCTCTTAATTACAAGAGAAGAGCTTAAATTGGTCACCTAACAACCTCAAAACAATTAGCTTTAAAACAGTTAGTAACTAAACAACTGTATAAGCGGTTAAAAAATATTACCAATTTTCAAACTTATTTTAAAACTGGCAACTACCACACACTTATTAAAAAAAATAACGTTGGTTAAATTTCTCTTGAACAAGAGACGACCTCCATATGTGGGCCATCGTTAGTGTCGCGTTCATTTTTAGTTTAATTTTTTAAATCCAAATGCTTTTTACGTCAATGACACCTAACAGTCCAAGATTTTGTTTATTTATTGAAGAAAAATAACTTTAAATTAAAATTAAAAAGAATTCAAATTCAAATTTTGACTCAAGGGACACTTTCAATTCCCGACTTCCAAATAGTCTTTATAATTTTAAATGCAGTTAAACTTTATTCCTATCATTGAATTAAATCTTCTAAAATGTTCTTGTGATTATCAAACACAAAAACAAGTTAATAATAATAGTTAAATAATTCGGGCATTGCCGTTCTTGCAATTATGTTTATCATGAAAGAAAATTTTCAATATATAATAATAACCAGGTGGTTTGTGAAGATTTAACAAATTATAACAACAAAATTCAATTAAAATTTTTTTTAATTATAAAATCAATTTTATAAACTAGTATATAATATATGTTCTAAATAAATATATAAACTATTATAATTACAATACATATCTCTCCATTGTAACAATTAAGCCTAAAACTGAATTACTTATTTCTTTCCCGAAAACAACCCAAAGGTAAGATTTTTTAGGAGAAAAACAAAACAACATAATTGTTATTTAGGTTAAAATAAAGATTTCATATTTAGTTTCATTCACATGTACGATAAAACACAAGATTGCTTAACATAAAAGCAATAGATATATATAAAAATAA